TTTCCCTTCCGACTATTCTGGTCCACTCAACCTCCATAACATCATCCTCAGACATTCATCCGCTGCTACCTGCCATTCCAATCCAGTCACAGCCTAAATTATGCCAAAATCACCTCCTAAAAGTTGTTTTCCGACCTGGTCCTTCCTTTCTCTTACTAAAACCTAGAAAATTAATTTATATTTTGTCAAAGAAATGAAAACGAAAGTCGGAACCTATTAAAGCCAACAAATTCACCATCTATTCCATGTTTACCTGCTTTTATTTCCTTTATGCGTGGAAGACCCGGGCAAATTTTACAGTCGTACCAAATAAACATGGCCGCCTCTTCGTCAACAGACGTGAGCGTGAAAACTATGGCTGAAGAAATTAGCTTTGCAGTGGAAACTGATCAGTGTTCGGGGACCAACAATGGAGGGGAAACCGAGAAGAAAGACTTACCCAAAAATGAACCAGAAACAGAGGACCCCTTCAAGAAACCCGCTCTTTTCGCAGCGCCTTCCATTCCCTGCAAACGCGGTACCGTCACTGCTCTGTCCAAAACAACAGCAGTTGAAACAAGAACAGTGAAAGATGATTTTGTGGACACTACCAGCGGCACTTCCTCGGATGCTGATAATGAAAACAAACCCTCGGAAAAAATGCAACAATATGACAAAAAAGGTAACAAAGACAATGACGCGGCCCTTGTCAAAATTGTGCCAGACGCGAAACCCAGGGTGCTTCCTGCCAAAGGGTCCCCAGCTGGTAAATTCCCCCCTCTCCCGTACACAGAACCGCCCTGGGGTGGTAGCGCTCCAGATGTCCCCTATGCGCTTGAAATCCTTAAAAACGGCACCATAGTGGACAAGGTACTACTCGCTCACAAAAGTTACTTCGTGGTTGGACGTTTGCCTGTGTGTGACGTCTCTCTAGAGCACCCGTCCATCTCCAGGTATCACGCAGTAATTCAGTACCGTGGTCAGGCCGAAGAGGGGCAGTCGGTTGGAGAGAAGAGAGGCTTCTACCTCCATGATTTGGGCAGCACGCACGGCACCCTGGTAAACAAGAACAAGATTCCCCCGAAGAGCTACATCCGAATCCGCGTGGGACATGTCTTAAAGTTTGGAGGGAGCACGAGGCTTTTTATCCTGCAGGTCTGACATGAATACATTACTAACGATAATGCATACAGTACAGCTGTCTTTGAAGTAGGGGCACACAGGACTTGAATACAGGGCTAACTATCCAACAACAACAGATTCTCTGTTCTTTCAGTTTATATTAGTATAATAGTAATATAACTGACTAATTACATAATAGACCATTTGCTGTCTTTTTTATTCGAGTTTTTACTTGACACACACAAACGAAACACTAAATAAATAAGCACAAATAAGGGTTAAAAAACCTTCAGATCTAATTTCTCTATTCTTCAAACCATTCTTATAGTCAATGAGTATTTATAATATTAATCTTGCTTTCCTACGACTGCCCTTTAGCACTGTCACTGATTCAAATACAGTCCCATAAGGCACATCTTCAATAAACATGATCTATGTACAGGTACAGTCAAAGTCTTAAAGGCAGGTAGATCTGTGCTATATGTATGTATGTGGGTAGGTGTGTGTCTATATATACAGTGTATCCAGAAAGTATTCACAGCGCTTAACTTTTTCCACATTTTGTTATGTTACAGCCTTAATCCAAAATGGATTAAATTAATTATTGTCCTCAAAATTCTACAAACAATACCCCATAATGATGTGAAAAAATTTAGTTTGAAATCTTTGCAAATTTATTAAAAAAAAAAAATAAAATATCACATAAGTATTCACAGCCTTTGCCATGACACTCAAAATTGAGCTCTGTGGTGCATCCTGTTTCCACTGATCATCCTTGAGATGTTTCTACAACTTGATTGGAGTCCACCTGTGGGAAATTCAGTTGATTGGACATGATTTGGAAAGGCATACACCTGTCTCTATAAGGTCCCACAAGCACAAACCAAGCCATGAAGTCCAAGGAATTGTCTGTAGATCTCTGAGACAGGATTGTATCAAGGCACAGATCTGGGGAAGGGTACAGAAAAATTTCTGCATCATTGAAGGTCCCAGTGAGCACAGTGGCCTCCATCATCCGTAAATGGAAGAAGTTTGGAACCACCAGGACTCTTCCTAGAGCGGGCCGCCCGGCCAAACTGAGCGATCGAGAGAGAAGGGCCTCAGTCAGGGAGGTGACCAAAAACTCGATGGTCACTTTGAAAGAGCGCCAGCATTTCTCTGTGGAGAGAGGAGAACTTTCCAGAAGAAGAGCCATCACTGCAGCACTCCACCAATCAGGTCTGTATGGTAGAGTGGCCACATGGAAACCACTCCTCAGTAACAGGCACATGGCAGCCTGCCTGGAGTTTGCCAAAAGGCACCTAAAAGGACTCTCAGACCACGAGAAACAAAACTCTCTGGTCTGATGAGACAAAGATCGAACTCTTTGGCCTGAATGCCAAGCGTCATGTTTGGAGGAAACCAGGCACCACTCACCACCTGGCCAATACCACTCCTACAGTGAAGCATGGTGGTGGCAGCATCATGCTGTGGCGATGTTTTTCAGCAGCAGGAACTGGGAAGACTAGTCGGGATCGAGGGAACAATGACTGCAGCAATGTACAGAGACATCTTTGATGAAAACCTGTTCCACAGCGCTCTGGACCTCAGACTGGGAAGACGGTTCATCTTTCAACAGGACAAAGAACCTAAGCACACAGCCAAGATAACAAAGGAGTGGCTACGGGACAACTCTGTGAATGTCCTTGAGTGGCCCAGCCAGAGCCCAGACTTGAACCTAGACTTGAACTCAATTGAACATCTCTGGAGAGATCTGAAAATGGCTGTGCACTGATGCTCCCCATCCAACCTGATGGAGCTTGAGAGGTATTGTAAAGAAGAATAGGAGAAAGTGCCCAAAAGTAGGTGTGCCAAGCTTGTAGCATCATACTCAAAAAGACTTGAGGCTGTAATTTGTGCTAAAGGTGCTTCAACAAAGTATTGAGCAGAGGCTGTGAATACTTATGTACAACTGCTCAAAAAAAATAAAGGGAACACAAACATAAGACATTCAACTATGTTGTGTTCCCTTTATTTCTTTTGAGCAGTATATATGTGATTTTTTTTAAATTTTATTTTATTTTTAATACATTTGTAAAGATTTCAAACACTTTTTCATATTGTCATTATGGGGTATTGTTTGTAGAATATATATATGTGTGTGTGTGTGTGTGTGTGTGTGTGTGTGTGTGTGTGTGTAA